TAAAATTGCCAGTTTTTAATTTTAATATTAAATTTTATCATATAATTTTATAATTATTGGTTAGTATAAATTATTTTTAATATTACACGTATTCAAAGATCTGAATAGCTATTATAACATGATTTCGTTGTCAAGCTTTTGGATCTTTCTATACTTGGTTTTTGATTGGTTATTCTAGCTTTTGTAACAATGTTTCCCACTAGTGTAGGATCGTTAATTAATCTGAAACTTTTAAAACCATTTATTTTATTTTCAACATCATCACTTGATAAGACACAGAGTGTGTTGAAACAAAATGGCTATTTTTGTAGTGATTTTATAACATACTTATGCTATAATTTTTTTATATAAAAAATAATTATATCTGCTCTACTTTGTATTGAGCACTCTTTTAAGAATAGTAATTGTTGGTTATTGGAATTCATTCCGTATATACCAATTATATATAATTAATGGATTTATTTTTAATCCAACATTTTATTACTTCAAACGTTGTTAAGTGAATACCCATGTTTGAAATAAACGCCCCATGTTTTTTTTTATTTTCAACAGTGTATATTACGTCTGTCGGTCTGAGCATTCGACAAATCATAATTTTCTTCATTAAGATTTTTCGAATGCGCAAGCCGATAGATGTAATACCTGCTGCTTAAAATAAAAATGGGGCGTCTATTTCAAATATGAGTATCCAATAATAATAATTTTTGGATTTACGTTCACTTTCGAGTAAGTACATTTGGTAAAGATATGAGTCGTTTTCTTCTCCAATCACCTAGATGAGTAGCAAGCTGTCTGGGAGAAGGACAACTCTGAGTTAAAAACAAAAAAAAACAAAAAAAAAACGGTGGGCATGGGGCAAGACAATTCATCGACGAAAATCACCGTATCAACGACTACGGCAGTGTACAGGATTTGAGTGAGTATGTACACGACGCGCATATATATATATATATATATATATATATATATATATAATTTTCGTGTGTGCGCATATAAAATGTTACTATACCTAAGAAAATGTCAGTCCTTAAAAAGCATATCCATGAGAGAATATGAAATATGAAATGTAATTTGGCTTCGAACTAGAGTACAATTGCAAAATTATTTACCGAACTTCAGAAGCATCTTAACATTTCGATAAAAAACGATGGTGAATATGTTAACGTTGTTATTAGTAAATCTAATATAGCTTAAACATATTTCCTTTCATTTGCAGTTTATTTAATATTTTACCTTCTACAGAAAATTAAAAACTAAACTACACAAATATTCTATATGAAATTCATACGTATAATTGTATGTTTTTTTAGTTTCTTTTGTTTAATGGGATAAAGTTGTCTTCTATTTATGGTAAGAATTTATGTTAAAGAAGAATATTTTTTGGCAAAGATATGTTTGTGCAGTTGACATTTATACCTGGTTGGTGTTGCCTAAAGATTGTATTAAATCGATTCTGTAGGAATGTCGAAAAATATTGAAAATATTAGTTATTCTGATTTATCTAGAATCGAAACCCGACTACACATGCTGAGGTTAAAATGGCGGATTAAGTCGGATTTAGAGAGGCAATCGCCTAACACAATGCAATTGTCATTACTTCATTATCGTTGTTTTATGAGGGGAATCTACAATATATTAAAACATGGGATGACTAGCTTTCTGACAATATACATATGAACAGAATTACATAGACATAGGGATATAAAGAGAATTTGATAGAAAGATATATAGATATTTAGAGGGTGCGATGGATGAATTGTTGTCTATATTCCACAAAAATGAAAATAACACTGACATCTCATTTTAACAGATATATTTACCAAAATTATACAGAAATATCATGAAATACTAAAGCGTAAATTTATCTAATAAAATTGCCGCTGGCTTCAAACACCGCCTCCAGAAAACTTCGGAATCTCCTGCAACTTTTCTGGGCTGTTTCCTTGATTGAGTTGGTGAATGTTCCCATAATCTTTGCCTTCAGTTTATATTTGGTGTTACAAGGAGTTTTGTTGCTCTTTCGCTCATCTGCGTCTGTTTGTGTGGCATGGTGCATAATCCTGTTGCCAGACGTAGGGTCTTCCATCTGCCACCTCTTTTGACCCAGTGCAGCACTACCTCCTCAAGTCACTTGATGTAGGACTCCGTGTTGAGTATGAAATCCGGTGGGAAGATGAATGGCGGCATAATGTCGCCATCACTAGTGATCACACCAAACACCTTCGAAATCACCATTAGACTCCTTCAAATCTTTCCGAATCCTCTGCACTGTCCTCAGGTTGACACACAAACACTCTGAAATGTTCATATTGGATTTTCCGATGCGAATGCTAAGCAAATGCAGTATGCCGTTTCCAAACTTCTGGCGCAGTGAATTGCTTTATGGTGCTCTTTTTCTCAGAGACGGTGCCCAACTGACTCTACTATAATGTATAGTCGACAAAATAAAAAACAATCAACATATGCGCAAAATTAAAAATATAAAATGGCAACAACTTACCCATCACATCCTGTCGATAGATATGAACAGTCCGAGATAGATGCTAAAATAGAAATGGTTAAGTGGGAGAAAATCTTTAAAATCTACCTTCAAATTGCAGGATTTAATCGGATAACCATGGCTGATCGTTAGTAGCAATAGGAAAGTAGCAACTACTTCAACCACCAGTTAGCATATAACTCCATATATATATTTGTATATATATGGAGTTATATGCGCGTATATTTTTATTTGTTACTGAATTGAGATGGGGAGCATCGAATGTTGTTGAGAGTGCAGTGATCCACAGCTAACTTAACCTTCCTGGCAAATTTACTTGCTGGATTGAGAAAGGCTGATCCGAGTGTGGATTAGTGGGTGATCCAGGCCAGAATTTATCCGCTGCAAGCCGGTCAAGTAATCCCTTTGGACTTGGGAGAATGTTACGCAATTCGTCTTCAAATATCCAAACACTTTAAAACCGGCTTCTGTTCATCTGAAAATTCTTTGAGAGGCAAGAGATAATGGAAAGATCAACTGAAATATTACATATGTGTATGTATGTATGTACGTATATATATCTATCTATCGTCTTTCGTTCTACTTTAGTCTTTATACCAGCTACCGTAGTATGAGCGCGCGCAGACGCAAACAAACACACACTTATGTGTGTGTGTGTGTGGTTCGTCAGAGTGGTATAATTATTAGCTATGTTTCCTCCTTACTTGTGAGTTTGATCCTCACACGGTCTCCTATTCAGTGGATTTGTGATAAAGTGATAAAGCACTGTATGCGAACCATAGTCGGAGTGGGCTAATGGTCAACGAGTTAGTTCGGTTAACTATTACTAGTGAGAAATGAATTCGGTTCTCACTCAGTTTGACTCGTCGACCAGGTAACAGGCATCAAGTTAAACTAGACATTCGAGGGGTGCTGAAAATTTGTCCGGCCAAACTATTTCCCAAAAATATGAACAACCATCATTATTTTTTTTTTCATAAAGGATGCTTGATCAGCACTCCCTAATTTATTCGCATCTATAAATAAGCTTATTTCTAAGTCTACCTATTTCGTTCACTCACTTCATGTCTATTTGCATTCTTTTATATTTACATATATTTCTTGTATTTACGAACATTACTCCCATCATTCTATATGTGTGGGTGGGATGTATGTAGTAGAAATGCGTTTGTGGGTGCATTTCTGTATGTAAGTAGCGAGACTCCAAACATAGCATAATGTAAAGGATGCTGAATCTTAACGAAAATTCCATGAATATGTCCTTCTAATTTACCAGTACGTGACTGCGCATGCCTAAAATCATAGCCTTTTCTCCATTTTTTTTTTCATTTCGCTGTTTTTGTTGAAAAAAAAACTACGAGGGATACAGATGCTGCGTTTTATGTTTGTACATTTGTACATTGGTTGTTTTTGCGATTTATATTTGTTCTTTGGGGAATTTTGATAGCCTTCTCTTATTTTTTTGTTTTTTTGTTATGTGTTTCCGGCAAATTCTTTCCGTTTGTGCTCTGCCAGTCGAAAGCAACAACTGAATTTGGAAGTTACCCCAAAATGAAAAGCGAAATATTCCACAAAAAGTGACACCAAGTCTCTCAAAAATATATCATGGTAATGAGTTCAGTTGGTATATTCCAAAAACTTAATTTATTTTCCAACTTAAGAGGGAAACGTAAAACGAGTCTTTGTAACCCGCCATTAAGTCTTCAGTTGCTTCTGTTTCACTATCATCATCATCATCATGTGACACCAAAATCCGAAGGCGAATTGGAATAGTAAAGTATGCCTTTCAAAAACTAAACAATGTATTAAGAAAAGAATGCTGACATGCTGTGTGTTAATCCTCTTATATGGCAGTGAAAAATGTAGAATTTTCTCATTGATTAAAACTTGATGCAACCATAGTCGAGATGATGTGATTCTTCAGAAGGATGCTTAGAATATCATGGACGGAGCATATGAATAGCAAGGAAGTTTTAACAAAAATATAAATATAAAGGAGACTTATATTTAGAAACAGTCGGTTGATATTTTTAGGACGCATAATAATGAAAAAGGCTTGGAATATTTGACACTCACGGAATATAATAGAGGCAAAAGTGACAGAAGGAAACTACTTAAATATCTATTGTGAAAATGGATTGCAGAACACGAAAAAAGTGAGATATTAAAAAGATAAATATTGTTAAGAACTTCAAAGGACAGGAAGTCGCGGAGAATCATGAACCGATGGACAAGGCACACAAAGGAAGAAGCAGCAGCTCACGTATCTTGTTTTAGCTGGTTTACAGAAAGTGATTGCATCTAATTTTGCAGAAATTAATTCTTGATTTTGTAGTTTATCACCCCCCCACACACACACACGTAACGATACTTCTGCGTTCTCTTTCGTTTTCTTCTATAAATCACAATTAAAATTAAAATCCTTGTGAAATTCTTCTTCTTCTTCCCTATTATCAGAGTATTGCATTAATTCCTTTTTAAATTGTATTAAAATATTACTTCTAGTGAAAAAGGTCTTTCTTGACAATTTTCTTTATAAACGTCAACGAAGTGTCTGTCTTTTAATTATTTATCAAATCATCGAAATGCAGGCCGGTCGACTTGAGCGAATAATAATTTTTATGCATAATAGGTAGGTTTTACTTACGCTCACGCATACACATTCAGTTGCATAATTACTATTATCCTTTCCGTTTCAGCTATTTTTTTGAAATGAAACAGACTTATAAAACTAGAAAAAAAATTAGAACAGTCTACCCCAGTGATCGAAATAAAGGGTTCAGTTCGAAATTCCAACCACCTGAAGAAGGCCGGAGCGTACAACGGCCGAAACGTTGTGACAAATATAGCGACAAAGATGAGGACAATAGTCCGACTAATGTAAATACTGTACTTATAAAACTGTAAGAAAAGGAACTACAGAAATTGTCCCGGTAAATACAATTACTGATACTACTACTACTACTACTACTACTACTACTAATATATATATATATATATATATATATATATATATATATATATATATATATATATATATTTATTTTAATTTACCCCCATACTCCACGCATAGACACATAAGTGTGTGTGTATGTGTGTAAATTAGATTCACTTCGAAATTAAATTAAAACGTAGACATGAAGTCAAATAACATAGTAAACACTTCTTATTTTCGTCTTTTCAAGACCTTAATGGAACTCTTCATAGCCAGAATCCATAGAGCAAGCTGATTACTGTCAATGTCATATAAAGAATCAGAATAGATTACTTTTTGAAGAAAAGCTTATTTTAGTTTCGTATTCTTGGGAAAACAGTTTCCATTTTTTTCATTTTTGTTTTTCCTAGTAAGCATTGCTTTTACTGTTGCTTCCATATTCAGGCGAAATACTTTCGCTTTTCCACTCGCTGTAAATGCCTCTAATTATAAAAGCAATAATGAATTTCTCACTATTTTTATACTTGTTACCCTTAGCAACTTCATTAGGTATGCATTATAGCTAATATGAGCGAGCGTCAATATGCTCTGGGCATCGCCCAAAATAACTCCACCGAGTTGATATTGGGCGGCAGTAATCACTTTAGCATTGACCAATGACTGTCTCCGTCGCGAAGATGTTGCAGGCACAACGGGATCAGGCTTGATTATGAACACTGTCATTATTCATTGCAAATAAAGCAGTCTCATCACTTCATAAATGACCTAGATATAAATATTGTCATTTGAAAGAAACCTCACTTCAATTTGGTTTCTGTAGTCGTGAAATTCAGCCCATCTTGCCAGAAGATAGGATTTATTGGATTATTTAAATATATAAATGAAAATAGTGCTACATAGATTAATAAACTTGGTTGAAAGAGGGAACAAGTATAAAAATAAATCAGAAAGTTTAGTGACTTTGATAAAAAAAATAGATAGGACAAGTCTCTTATACATATCAGTAAAGATTAGCGCACCCTGAAAGGCTAGAACTAACAATTATTCGGCAGTAAATTTCTAATATATATTTCAAAGCAAGCTTCGATTCCAACAACTTACGCGATCAAAAAATAAAGAATGCTCAGATTGTATACAAGGCATGGCTCTCATGGTTTTTAATCCTAATTGATTAGAAGTATTTTTTCTTAGCGAGTGGTTACAGTATATATTCTGTTCATTACTAGAAATTATCTTTCCTTTTCTCTGATCATAACAAGTTGGCTATGTCTGCTGGTGGTTGAGCATGAGTAATAGGCTAGCATCATGGCCAGGTGTCGATTGTTTTTAAGTTTTAAGAATGAGGACGCTAAGACGAGTTGGAAGACACCTCTAAATACCTGAGATCGCCCTCAATCAGAGGCTGGCGAAGCGGCCTTTGTTACTCGACCTGAAGTTATTTCTTACTGGAACTTAATTGTAAAGTTGTGCGCTGATAAAAAAATTTGATTTCTACTTCTGGCTTTGATTTGAAATTAAGGAAGGTGCAAAACGGCAGCTTAATTTATTGAGAATTCTCAGAAAAATAATTTATAATGGGAATTGCTGATGACCGTTTATAGCTGATCTGTTGACTCTTGTGCAGATGACCTTTTTATGGCTGATCTGTTGACTCTGTACTGATGACCTTTTATGCTGATCTGTTGACTCTGTGCTGATGACCTTTTATGCTGATCTGTTGACTCTGTGCTGATGACCTTTTTATGGCTGATCTGTTGACTCTGTGCTGATGACCTTTTATGGCTGATCTGTTGACTCTGTGCTGATGACCTTTTTATGGCTGATCTGTTGACTCTGTGCTGATGACCTTTTATGCTGACCTGTTGACTCTGTGCTGATGACCTTTTATGCTGATCTGTTGACTCTGTGCTGATGACCTTTTTATGGCTGATCTGTTGACTCTGTGCTGATGACCTTTTATGCTGACCTGTTGACTCTGTGCTGATGACCTTTTTATGGCTGATCTGTTGATTCTGTGCTGATGACCTTTTATGGCTGAACTGAGTCACACGCTATGGTGACCATAGCGTCGAACGCCTCCACGATGGCAGCCTTCAGAGAATCGAACGTGTTGTGGGCGTGCTTACTGATCTTGGCCTCGATCACACGCCAGAAAAAATAGTCAAGGGGCTTAGAGTCGGGTGAGGAGGAGGGCCACAAGTCCGGCGACCAGTGGTGAGGAACATTGTTGAGCAGACACGCATGGGTCGCCATGGCCTTGTGTGCAGGAGCGGAGTCCTGCTGAAAGACGTAGGGGCGTCCGGCGCCGATCTTTTCCATCCAAGGCTTCACCACGCTCCTCAGCTCCTCCTGGTAGATCTCAGCGGTGACTCTCAGGCCCCTTTTGAAAAAAGAACGGAGGCATGACGTCCTCCTCGCTGCACACAAGGCCAAGACGACCAAGATGTTGCTGCTCAACACTGTTCTTCATCAGTGGTCGCCGGACTTCTGGCCACTCTCCTCACCTGACGGCAACCCCCTTGACTATTACTTCTGGAGCGTGATCGATGCCAAGACCAACAAGCACGCCCACAACACGCCACTATGGACATGGTCGGCAAAGCGTGTGACTCATTTCGCGCCAGCCTTGAGATGGTCGTCGCCGCCAGCAGCGGTTACATTAAAAAATAATGTAGTATGGAAATCTAACTGTTGCTAAATAAACTGTCGGGTCTTTGCATATACAACTTTTGTTTTTATTGCCTATTTCCTTTTCTTTTTGTCAAGTGTCGGATTTTGCTGCAACACCCTGTATATATATATATATATATATATATATATATATATATATATATATATATATATATATATAACTATTTATGTATTATATGCGCGGTTCTTATTAGAAAGCGCTCAATATCAGAGATAGAGCTAACATATTTGGTTGGATGGATGTGAGTTTGTAACCCTGGGTTTCACGTTTTTGCGATCGTCAAACAAACTGATTAATTTTTTAAAATTTTGGGTTTATGTAGATTGCGTGTATTGGTGTTATTATGGGAGTGGGGGGAATCGTCGTCGTGATGGCATCGTGCTAACGCAAACATAGATGCATGTCCGTACACACGATGAGGTACGCAGACACACATACATGTGTGGGCAGTTTCGGATTTGACATATGTATGTATATGGGTCTTGTTTTGTCTATATATACGCATTTGTATGTTGAAATTCAAAGATTGGAAGTGTAGCGAAAATTTCTCGTGAATGTCTCGTGAATGTATACATGACAACAATCAGAGCATTTATCTTTTTTTTCACTGAATAAAATTTCCTCGCATGTATGTATATACGTGTGGTGGGGTCTGTGTAAAATTATGATAGGTAAAAATTATTATTATTTTTATTTTTTATTTTTTAAAAAAAGGTTTTATTTGTTATTATTTTAAAGCTGGTTATTTGCTTGTTTTTGATGACTGTGTATACGTAACTGGTAGAAATTTCGGTTCGTAATCCTTATTGGTTATTTTTTATGGTGGTATTATATATGCTGGGGGAGGGGGTAGTTTACGTCAATAATTATAGCAGGTTTATATGATAATAGTAGATGTGATAGTAATGTTGTAAGGGGATTGGTGACAATGATAATATAAGTAGCTAATAGTTATTGTAAATTGGTAGAAGTGATTAGTAATGGTGGTGGGAGAATGATAAAAACAATAAATGTAATTATTGTGGTGGTAGCTTGAACTAAAAAGTGATCGTTGGTGTTTTATTTTATTTTGTTATATATATTAATTTATTTTGGTATAAATCCTGATAATAGGTATTCTTTGTAAAATTATGATAGTTGAAAATTGCTATAATTTTTAATTTTTTATTTTAAAAACAAAATGAAAATATATTAAATCTATATCATCATAGAACACAGAATCTAATACAAGGACGTTTTAAGGTAATAGGCGTCGGTCAAAGGACATGCATCAGTGCATAACACGAGCGTTTCTGCAGTTAATGTAATAGGGTGCAGCTTCTCATTAGATTCAAGGTCTTTTAGCCAAGAGACCAGATTTGAGAGAAAGAGTAAGAGACAGAGATTCCTATAAGAAACAAAAATAAATCGTGCCTTAATTCAAGGGGGAAGTGAACCCCTTTAAACAACGATTTCACCCAAATCTAATTTCAAAGTTAAGCATGTGATCAAATTTTAGGAAAGACTCTCTTACTCTCTTTATTATCTGACTTTTTGCTGTAATGTTTTCATGCCTATGGATTATCGCCTTTGCGTCAAAAAAAAAAAGAAACAGAAAAAAAATCAATAAGGTAGGATCAGTGGTTCTTTGAACTTGTCACCCAAAGTCGTGCATCATTCGTGGCTATTGATGTGGTCGGTCATGTGTTTGCTTTAATCAACCGGCTTAATTAATTTATAGTTCTTCGTTGGAAACTCAAACGGGTGATGTTATTTGCTTATATGTCTTTCAATTTAGAAATGTTTTACACGTATGTCTACGCTTTTTGTATATATATATATATATATATATATATATATATATATATATATATATATATAATGTATGTGTTTCATTGGAAAAAAATTGAAAAATATTGATGTTAAATTTTATTTTCTGAACATAGTGCATGTATAAATTCTACAAATGATTGTTACTTCTGAGCTCTTTCGCTAAACTATTAGTCATTTTTAAGGGTTTTGGTTATTATATAGCAAACTGTGTATACTTTGCTAATGCATAGGAATGTTTATAATTCCCGAAAACAGCCTGTACCTTATAGGTACTTATTCAGTTGATACTATCAAAAGTTTTTGGTATTATGGTTAGTGTCTGCGTTTTTTAGTGTTCCTCCACAAGAAAAACAAGTAATATAAATACATTATCATTCATTTTCAATGCAAACTGTATCCCTACCTCACATTCCCTATACATTGAATCTTTTAGACATGGTACTGAATATATATATATATATATATATATATATATATAATCAGATCATTGCAAAAGATCGTGCCTGATTTTCCGATATATATATATATATATATATATATATATATATATATATATATATATATATATATATATATATATATATGGGTTGACATAAGTATGAAAATTGGATCGCAATTGTCTGTTTCATTCACATTCACAATCGTCATGCCATATCATGGAAAAAAAAACCTTGTCGCCATCCAGTTCTCTTACATATAGCTGACTACTTACATTTTTGTACGCCCTGTCCCAGATATTGAGCACTTTTGTCCCATAAATATACCATAACTTAAAAGCTATATTCATATATGCATGAAGCAAAATCAATTATATATATGATGTTGCTTCAGTATAGCCTAAGTCATATCGAAAAAAACGTAAACAATGTTTACTACGGTAGAAATTTCATTAATATTTTGTGAATATCGAACATAATCCATGCTTTAATGATCGCGACACAATATTTCTTACTAATCAATTAATCAGTCTGATATATTTTCAAATTTAATTGGTATTTACAAACATTTCACAAAACTATATGCCAAGAGTTGTACGTTAAATTAGTATTAATTTGTTTTGCGTCGGTGTTTGTGTTCACATAGTTTGTTATTTTTATTTTCGCAAGATTTTGGGCAATTATCCTCAATTTTGTTGTTGTTTTCATTAAGTTTTGGGGCCACTGTATCATCTGGCTTTCCATAAAGATTTGTCACATTCGCCATTATAGGAGTTTCTTTCCATAATTTATCTTGCAGATTTACAAGTCTACACTTCAAACCTTTCATCGAATATTGCTGCCACATCTAATCTAGCTATATATATATATATATATATATATATATATATATATATATATATATATATATATATTATTTTAGCATGTCTGATTAAAGAATTTAGGTATATTGTGTTTGTTTATTTTTAATAAGATCCTTTCGTAATCACATATAAGCTTTGTTGTTTTGTGATTAAAGAGTGCAAAGAAGGTACCATGGCTGAATTTAATCATTTTATTTTTCCGAGTACTTTCGATATATTCACAATATCATCTCCAGGGCTATGATGGCTAGGACAATTGTGTGGGTCCGAAGTATATTTTTGTTTTGTGGTTAAACCGTTAACAATTCCTACTATTCGACAAATCACAAACGGCGATTTTTAAAAAAAATTTCATATTGTAATCATTATAATGTAGGGGAGGTAACTTAGTTAAGAATTGAATGCATGTGATAGGTTATAGTTTGCTTCTTTTAAAAGAAATGTTTAGTTTTAAGGTAGTTATTTTTAAAGAACTATATACTATAAGCATTTCAGAACATTTGTACTGTATTCATAATTTGCTTTGTTAAGTGTGGGTTTTAATTTTTTAATAAAGATGGCTTTGGGAATTTGTTTTTTCTGCTTATTACGTTCTTGGTGAAGTATACAGGCATTTTGCAATAGAGGATGAATCATTGATGTGTAGAGCGAGCCGTTTTATAGCGTTATTGCAGAATAACAATATATACGTTAGCTTTTTTTGTTGGGCCATTTAAATTGATATATAGTGTTGATTTTCTGCAATAAATCAATTGACGGGGAGGATTTATTACAGAAGATAAACTTGGTTATTTTATATTTGGTGCAGTATATAATTAATCTTATTTTTTTTACTGGGGTCTGTGGGATATATATAAGTATTCATGAGTTTTTTATGATTTTTTTCATCTTGTTTATATTTAGAATGCATTTTATTACGGTATAAAAGATTGATGTTTTTAAGGTTATTTGAAGGCATATTATGTTTTATTTGATTTATATGAAAATTTGAAATAGATCGCCATATTTCTTCATCAACAATGTAGTTAAGAAAGTCATTATTAATAAGAGTTTGTTTTTTTACTTCAGGGTAGAAAAATATTTCTTGTGGATGAGTTAACTTTAGCAAGATTTATTAAATTTTGTATAAATTGCTATTCTGTAGTAGTTAGGACATAATAATAATAATAATAATAATAATAATAATAATAATAATAATAATATATTCACAACTTCCCCATATCAAAAACCTACTCGCATAAATTCATACACTCCTAATTGTGAGTGAATGTCATTAACTACTACAAAACAGCAATTCATGTTATACTTGCAAATAGAAATGGTGAATTTTATGTCAAAATACATTACATACGTAAATTTAGCTGATCAATGTAGGTGGTTGGTGAACGGCTAAATCATCTCGTTCCATGATCTACTGTTCTGGACTTGGTGTCCACAACACTAGATCTCTCGTGACTTCTTATTTTGCTCACAAGCGATGTTATGGCACAGCATGCTTCTCGAATAACCTTCCAA